ATTTATTTGGCTTTTTCTCCCTCCTTTCCCTTTTTTTTTTTTATCTAAATCCCTAAAATTACAACGAACTTAATGAAAGTTATTTGGTTATTGCAACTAAAACTTTTTTTAAAAATTTAAAACAAATAGGAAAAAAAAAGTGGATAATCACAATGAAAACAAAAAGATTTCAAAAAATATCTTGACAAGATAACATGGAATAGGGTGTTGATTTGTATATACAAAAGGTTCAATGCAAACATGGTTTTCATGTGTTCCCATTAAGTCCAACACAAAATACATTTAAAGAGCATATATCAACAAAAATAGTCCAAATCAATCACAATTAGAATAAAAAAGAACGGGGAGGGTGGACGCTTACCAATCACCTGGGAAACGTACATAATGTGCAGTGTTGGCCTTTCCTTTTGTTACTTTTTCAACTAGTTAAACAATTTCACTCATAATTGTGTGTTCTATGTTTCTTGAAAACTTAACAGAATGTTACAACAATAAAGCACTTACAGAAGTTTCCACGTGATGAAGGCATCCGCCGCTGGGGCCCACATGGACAACATATTGGCTACATTAAATACAAAAACATAGATATGTAAACCAAGATGGTTTCATAACTGTTCAAACACTTAAAATAAGATTAACATAAACAACTAATGAAGTAAAAAGTAGAGCAAGTATGTTAACTATGACCATCAATGACTATATATAAAATTAGGTGTTAGAAAGCCACCTGAGTGTTCTCAATTATATGACCCTCTTCATCTCGCAATCTGCAACACAAGTACAAGAAACCAAGCAGTGAAATTAGCATTATCTAATACTATAGTTAGCCTCTAGAAAAAAATAAAACAGCAATAAAACATAGCTTGCCTCTCGCATATCTTCACAACATTCACACCAGCATCTGGCTCACATTTGCGTGTTTTAACATAATACTCTTCAGGTTTATATGGAACATCCTGCTAAGAACAAACTCTAACTTAATCATACAAACTATCAAATTATATCCACACTAATCGTCTAGCTTCCATTCACTTTGAAAATAGAATCTCCAAAACCAAAAGAAAATGCTAGATTAGTTCTCAATAGTAACAATAAATAATTATCACTCATATAATCCAACATCTATATACAATTGCAAATATATATGTATTTGAATGCATCATACCGTGAAAAATTAGTTGAAAAGAGAGGGCGAAATGGCTAATAAATAGGAATATCATACTCTTATGTATGTTAACTCATACAATGCATATGCAGAAGTTTTGTTGACCGTTATCACAGGCGGAATCCGCAATGTCTGCATCTTTCTAGTTGAATTTTCCTCTACTTCCACCAATTCTGCAACAATTGAAGCCTCTCCTCCACTCTACACCATCATAAAGCAAGTTCAAAAACGAGAAAATACAATTCATAACGTGGCTAATTCACTTAATTGAAGACAATGAGAATGATTTACCGAGTCACTGGGAATAGCCATGTTGACTACAATTTTGGTGGTGCAATTGAGATTATCGGAGTTGGAGTTCTTCTCGCACTTCTCCAACTTGGATTTGGAGATAATTTGAGTTCCAGCAACATGAGACGCGAGAAAGGAAAAAGAAAGTAGGAAGATGATAAGGGTGACATACGAACGCAATGCCATTTTTGGGTGGTTACGGTTTTGAATTGTGGAGTACTCTTCTAATTGGTTAAGGAAGAGTAACGTGGGTTATCCCTTTGTTTCTTTTCTCCCATATGCACGAGCTTTCAACATATATCTACGTTCTGAAATGATGAAGTTGCAATGGTAAATTTAATGTGATCTTTATTATGATCAACAAGATGCCAAATAATTTAATGAGTATTCAAACCAAAGCATCAATAATCAATAATAAATAAATAAAAGAGCATTCAATGACATTAATAAATTATTCAAATACATGCAGAATCAAGTTTTACCATCGAAATTATATAGATCTAGAACAAGACGTAAGGATGGTTTTCTTGGGAACATGAAAGTGAATGTGGAGAGAAGAAAGAAAGTGACGTAACATGCAAAATAGAGAGAAGCGGTTTGACGATTATTCTTCTTCAGACAACAAAAGCAAAACAAAACCACTCCAAAACCACTCTAAACAAATACGTGAGTGTAGTTTATTAAATTTGAACGGTCACAATTAAACTAAAATATGGTCATGCGGATATTAAATATCTTTTAATACTGGTCATACATCATATATTTATGTGAATTAAATTTATAGTTCTCATATATTTTATAATAAAAAAGTTATCACTTTTTTCAAGATATACATATAGGTGAAAATCGAATTATTTCATTCGAACTCGTTGTATTAGTATGTGTGTTAAAATTTTGTAACTTTTTAAAATAAGAAACCTGTACATATTAAAGTATGCCACGTTATATTGTCAATTTTCATTGTCTCCATATTCAATTTGACATTATTAGTCAAGTATTTGTATTGTGATGAATTAGTTATAGTTATTTGTTTCGTATACAAAGAAGATCGCAGAGAGTACTAAATTAAGGATTGGAATAATAGAACATATATTTTTTTGTCCGAAATGTTAAGAACTAAAATGACACTAATTTGAGGAAGCGACAATTGAATCTGGCATGTTTGTGGTGTAGGAATTATGGCGAACACCACGAGTGCATACCAATTAACATATCATTTACACATAGGGAATTCTCACATACGTGATTCGAAAAACAAACGCCAACTTTACTATCACAAAAACATTCAAATCATATAAAAAAAACTTTTCAAAAAAAGAGTAGTTAGGTTACCTAACAGAGAGATTTCGGAAAAATAGTATTAAATTCTGTGAAACTGAATCTCAATGCTAAGTTTGGTGGAGCCTCTGCAGGTAGCGGTTTTGGCAGCAACGAAATGAAGGTGAAACTGAAATGGAAGAATGGCTTTGAATTGAAGGAGGGAAACAATGTTTGGGCTCGCCACACCAGACCCACACTTCCACCAGACCCAAAATGTTTGTATCCCTGTTTAATCCTGCAAACAATAAGCCCAAAAAAGAAAATAAAAACTGACCAAGATATATAATGGTGATAGATGTATAACTCCTTATAATTACTAGAAGAAAAAAGGCACTTCATGCCTGCATTGTATTAAAAAAAATAAAGAAGGAAAATAATGAGAAATCACTCATAAAAAAGGTAGTTATTGAAAAATAAATAAATGATAAAATAGCCCATATAAAAATGGAAACTAAAAGTAGTTATTGAAAATGATATTTCCTTTATATATTAGTATAGATATAGATTTTTTAGTGGGATCAAGGCACTTCGTGTCTATATATATATATATATTATCTTTAAACTAGTGAGATCGAGACACTTCATACCTCTATTGAAAATAAAAATAAAAATTAAATAATAAAAGTATATGAATCTAATTAATATTATGATTAATTCATTAATTTCAAGTTCTTAAATTTAATTAAAAAATATTTTTTTAAATTTTTAAAATAAAAAGGTATAATGATCCAAAAAAAATTGGAGAGCAAAGTAGTTACTAAAAACCCCTTTATATATTAGTATAGAATATTAGTATAGATTTAAAACAACTCATTTATGGAATGAATTCATTTGTTGGCATATAATCATATAAATAATTTTACACAACATGATGTTTTGCGATCATAAAATTTCCTTAATAAGAAGACCAAATAATAATTCCACCTTATTAGCTTCCTTGCAATTTATGATAGAAATTAAATATCATTCTACTATTATTTTTAGTTAACATTAACATAAACTAAAACATATATTAAAATTAATAAATAATTAAATTGAATAATGTCATACCTTTCAAGAATAAATTTCAATTCTTTATAGAATACGTCATCCATTATTTCAGTTTAAATATATCATTATACAAAATTTTATAATTTTTTAAAATTATTTAAAACTCCATTAAATAAATTCAAATTAATTAAAATACTTTATTAAAATTTTCATAAAAAAGTGCACATATTATAATACTACTTTTCATTATTTAAAAATTTAAGAATAAAATCATCTAAAAAATATGTACAACAAATCAAGATATTTACTTTATTAAAAAAAATACCGTTTTTCGTTTTTACAATTTGTAGACGATAATACTCTCAATTATTAAAAATAAATAAATTAACAATTTTAGTAACCGTTGTTAATTAATTTTGAATAATTGTTCCCAGTATTATATTTTTATTTATTTATTTTACTTTTAAAAAATATTTGGAGATGTTTCTTCTAGTAAATCATAATAGCTATATTCAATAATAATAAAATACAAATTAATATCATGTGAATCTTTTGAAAACTAAATTGAAATCACTTATTATGAAAAATTAATGTTAAAAGCTTGAAAATATTTAGAGTTTAAATCTTATTATTATTTATCTTTCCAAAATTTATCATCTTGTTTTGATCCTCAACATGACGATAAGAATTGAAAATTAACAAAATTTTTAAATAAATTATCAATTTGGCTACAAGAATCAGTCTCTCCTAAATAATTATTAAATCGTACTAAAGTTATATAAGTGATTCTTAAACTATTATAAATCGAACTATTCAGCTTCTCAAATATTAAAAAGTCCTTTAAATTGTAGTATTTTAACTTGTGTATTAAATATTTAGTATATATAACAAATAAAAAAATATAAATAAAGACTAGCAAGAAAAAGGTACTATGTGCCTGTATTGTATTAAAAGAAGAAAAAAAAAAACAATTATAATAGTTTCAGAGTAAAATAAAAAAAAGGAAAAGAATGAGAAATTACTCATAAAAAAAGGTAATATTAGAGAATTAAACAAAGGAGATAGAGGGAAAATGAATTTCACAAAATAAGCATGAGTTCTAAAGAAACAAATCAACAAATATCAACACATACCGAATAATTTTTACAAGAGTCAAAGAGAGCATGATAAAGGAAAAGTGAATTTCACAAAATAAGCATGAGTTCTAAAGAAACAAATCAACAAATATCAACACATACCAAATAATTTGAGATTATTTATATAGATACAAACAGGTGCCTTAGGACATTGTTATTGATTTAATTTAATTTCCTTAGAACATTAATATAAATATTATTATCTCTAAGACCACGTCATTAGAATAAACCAATAGTGGGCAAATCATGATAGATGATGTTAGAGTACTTGAACTTGAATGAAATATCATAACACAATATTAGATTATGTCTACGTTTTCCTGTTCTTTTGTTTTAGAATCCTTTACCGTTTCTTTTATTTCCCTATACAAATAAAGAACAACCAAACCTTTTTCCATTAGTTGGGTTGACAACATATATAGATAAGAAGATCCTATTATGCTCTATAGCAATTAGCAAATCATGTTTATAGTATAACTATTGAACTTAAAATCCTTATTAATGATTTTGCTTATGATTTTTGTTGGTCTCTTTATGCTTTAGTGTATTCTCTGTTTCATCTATTCTTCTTATTGCAGTTTCTACAAATTTTCATTAGAAATAGAAAAAGTCAGTTTTCTTTGTAAGAAGTCGTTAGAAGTTAACTTTTTCTATCTCTAATAATTTTCTTCACACGTGAAAACCACTTGGGATGGGTTTCTACCATCTTTATTACCATATACTATCTTTTATTCCTAAATGTGTTCAATTGTAACTTCATCTTGTCTAATACGTTTACTCTTCCAACATGACAAGAGAACAAAATTTACAATGCAATAATTGAATAAACTTTTTCTCTAATGGATTAATTCTTTGATACATACATGCCTTCATTCCTAAAACCTACAAAACAATTGCAAATAGAATTTTCCTTATTTCTACCTGTAACAAGATAGAAGCAAAAACATGAAAATGAATAAAATACAGTCCACAAAATCTAATCAGAGAGACTAATACATAACTGTTATTCACTTTATGTCTCAATCTTTAATCGGTAAACAAACCTACATAATCAATATATGAAGTCAATGTAATCAAACAAATGAAAATGAAACCCCAATAAATAAGAAATCAAAGACAAAATCAAACAATTGAAAATGAAACCCTAATCATCAAGAAATCAAACGGAACCCTGGGTCTAAAACAGAAGAAAGGCAAACCTAAAGTAGAAAGAGAGAAGGAAAAAGCGAGCGAGAGAACGAGCGAGGGAGGGAGAGAGAAGGTTCGCAGAAAGAGGGGTCGGAGCGAGCGAGAACTGGGTCACACAGAGAGAGTTCGCGGGCGAGGGTTGCGCATTTGCTTGCAATTTCTTCACTTTTCAATAGAACCAGAATGATTGCATGCGTTATTCATGTTTTTAGGTACGTTAAAAACACATTTATTTATATATAAATTATATTTATATATCCAGGAAAATTACATTTATTAAACAAGAAAAGAATGAGATGTTCATATGTTGATAAAAAAACCTGAGAAAAAGGAAAATGTTGATCAAAGGGAGAAGATTAATCGAATGTAGTGAAAACTATAAACAGTTGGCAAATAAATAGAATTGAATCATTGCCTTATCGAGAAATGGCCTAAGGTACTTTGTAGAAAATATTACAGGAAAGAAACGGAAAATGGAAAGGGGAATAACTTGCAAGTTCTGATGACGTCCAATGAGAGTGAAGGGTTTGTGGTTGTCGAGGGTTTATGCAGAGGGTTTAAACTTTTTCAACAAGAAAGGAAAACCGAACGGTGAGACGTCACGTGTGAGAGAGAAAATTAATTGGGTTGGGCCATTTGTTCTATGGATCCCATAGGCCCAATGCACAAAAGTAGATCTTATCATTTTGTTCCAGTCCATTTAGTTTTTCTTATTTGGCATTAAGTGATGATATTTGTGCACCTATATATATATATATATATATATGTATGTATATGTATATGTATATATTTTTTTTTAATTTGTGAAATCAATGGTATATACTAGTTTTGTACCTCTATTTTCTAAGTACAATTTTCCTTTTTTATATAAAGGAGATAATTTTTTATTGACCCGTATATTTCTTATCTTTTGTTCCATTTTTAACTTTTTAAAATCTTTATGTTTCATTTAACTAGACATTTTATTTTACCTCACATTTTAATCCTTCCCATAATAATAATAATAATAATTTTTATTTTAAAAATATATTACTCCCACTAAATCAGGGTCTTAAATATGCCACAATGTATGTGTGAGAGGTTAACTAACTCATTATAAATGTTAAACCTATGGATAACCATAATATTTGTTAACCTCGTTTGAATGTCAACAAAAGCTACAACCATTAGACTATTAACCAACTTGCATTGTTTGAAAGGTATTTGTGAAATCTCACTTTCTCTAAATCAAGGAACCGGAAAAGCTGAACTGTATTATGATGGCCCAGTAGTATCTTTATGTTCCTGTTTACTCCTTAAGCATTTATTCTGTCTCTAAGACTCTAACTATGACATCATGTAATTTTTCTCCACTGTTATAGATCAGTTGGTTATTTTGACCTGTGGTTTTGAAACTTGGTTCACTTTGCCAACTCTATGGTGAATTAGTTAGCTATATCTGGTTTGTCATGTTTGGTGGGTGTTTGATCATTCACCTATAAATATTAAATAAAGAATAAAATAATTCATGTAAAAATGAAAATCAAAAGTAGTTATTGAAAGTAATATTTCATTTATAAATTAGTATAGAAGTATAGATAAAATATAAAATATATAATAATAATATTAAAGGGGTCGAGGCACTTCATGTCTCTAATAATTATACACAAACATAATATTAAAAAATTGTGTGTAATTATTTAAAAAAATATAAGAATTTTTCTTACATTTGAGGGGTATAATGGTCCAAAAAATGGAGACCAAAAACAATTACGTACCTGTCTCCTTTATAATAAGTATATAGAAAGTATAGAACATAGAATATAGAATAGAAGTATAGATATATATAGATACATAAGTATAAATAGATAGATAAAAAAAATGGAGACTAAAAATAATTACATACCTATACCTAAAGATATAGATATAGATATATACATGTGTGGACCAAGAGCGATATTATTTCCTCTGAAAGAGGCCCCACTATTATAAAAATCTACACCCCCCAAATTAACAAATTCAAGTTGACAATTTAACAAACATTTAACATGCATAATCAGCAACTTCAAGCAAACATCCATAAACCTAAAATACATAATCCCAGCAAATCTCAAAATGTTCATACAGCATGTTAACAATCCCTAATCTATACTAACACTATTTAAGTCATAGAGTTTCACCAAAAATCACAAACAAATCATACAGACAATAACCGGTAAAAAAAACTATAAAACTAACAAAATATCATTTTGAGTACTTACATGCGATGAATTTGTAAGTAAAAGAAAGTAAAAGCAAAACCCGAACATGCGATGTAAGCAAACGAAATTGAGAGAGGAAAGGATAAATACGTACTTAAAAATAGAGATAGATTTCTATGTAGTGAGGCAGAGAAGAGCACAAATTGCAGTGAAGTAACGCGTTCACGATTCACAAGGTCCCATTCTGCAGAGCAAAATTTAGCAAACAATAGTGGGATATTAAAAATGAAAATGATTTATTAAAATACAATTATCACAAAGTTTTGTGGCGGCCCGACCCAACTATCACAAGTGACTTGAGAAATTCCATCACCTGTAAATACAATGACAATGTTTGTTAAGGTAAAATTTATGTCCACATCAAATAATACCAACGAATTAGACCACCTAATGAACAAGTAGCTACAAGAAAAATTTCAAACAAAATATATGAACTCAGTTAAAAATGAGATTTACCTCGGATGGATCACGAAGAGAGTAAACTGCGTTGCTTTCTTTTGGTGCTGAAGACACCAAGATCCCATAACCTCTATTTCCCTCTCTCAAAACCTATAATACATTGTTTGATGTCATTATTGAAGAAATCAAAAAGTTGGCTTTGGCTCTAAAAGCAGAACCTTCCGCCCGTGAGTTAAGCACAAACGTGGATAGTCTTTAAGAACATAATGAACACGTTGCCCCACCAAATCCCAACTCTGTATTGAATAATATTACCTTGCCAGGGTAAATGGACTTTTTGGCTGTTTTTATCGATTCTGACAGTTTTTTTTCAGTTACTTGTACGTGGAGCTTAACTGCTTATATGTATTTATTATTTATGTACGTGTTTATATTTTATTTAAACCAAGGCACTTAATATCTCTCTATATATATATTTTTTAAAATATATATATATATATATAGTGTGTGTGTGTGTGTGTGTGTGTGTGTGTGTGTGTATGTGTGTGTGTGTAGGTGTCTTTTTGAATTATTGTTGGTAATGGTAAAATTTAATTCTTTTACAATTATAATACTTTAAATATATCAAAAATATTTTAGACTATATAATTATAATTACTTGATATTACATAAGTATTACTCGGTATTGCATTCTCAAGTGTCTTAATATTAAAAAAAATAGTTAGAATTGATTTCAAATAAGAAAATGTGTTACAATTATATTTTTGTTTCTATTAAATTTGTAAATATAATCTTTTCAATTAATCATATTATTATATAGGATCAAAATCTTCTGTCTCGAACCCCTATCCCTCCAATCACCAAAAGTCATCTCAATTAGATTATCACATCATTACTTTTAATTTTAATTTTGATTTTTAATAAGTATAATCCTTTATGTATTGTTATAGAATGCATCTTCGTCTGTCCGATCATCTCCAATATACATAGGAAGCACATCGTCACAATTGTTTAGCCCTAAATCACAATATTCTAATGTCAATTACTGCAAAACAATGAATTGTGATCTTTAAAGAAAGTAACCATTTTAATGAACTCACCAAGTAACTCAAGTAAAAAGGTGATAGCTTTTCCCTTATCCTAGTTAATCACAGGTCGAACGTCTAAAACCTGAGAAATAGTAATCAGAAATTATAAACAACAAATCCTCTTTTTTAAGAATTCAACCATTGAATCTCCTTAAAAATGCATCAAAAGGTTGGCTTTGGCTCTAAAATCGGTACCTTCCGCCCGTGAGTTAAGCGCAAACCGGATAGTCTTTAAGAACATAATGAACACGTTGCCCCACCAAATCCCAACTTTGTATTGAATAAAATTTCCTTGCCAGGGTAAATGGACTTCTTGGCAGTTTTTATCGATTCTGACAGTTTTTTTTCAGTTACTTATCATGGTGCTTAACTGCTTATATGTATTTATTTTTTATGTACGTGTTTATATTTTATTTAAATCAAGGCTATATATATATATATATATATATATATATATATATATGTTTGTGTGTGTGTAGGTGTCTATTTGAATTTTTGTTGGTAATGGTAAAATTTAATTCTTTTACAATTATAATATTTAATTATATCCAAAATATTTTACACGATATAATTATAATTACTTGATATTACATAAGTATTACTCGGAATTGCACTCTCAAGTGTCTTAATATTAAACAAAATAGTTAGAATTGATTTCAAATAAGAAAATGTGTTACAATTATATTTTTGTGTCTATTAAATTTGTAAATATAATATTTTCAATTAATCGTATTATTATATAGGATCAAAATCTTCTATCTCCAAACCCTGTCCCTCCAATCACAAAAGATCATCTCAATTAGATTATCACATTATTACATTTAATTTTAATTTTAATTTTTAATAAGTATAACCCTTTATGTATTGTTATAGAATGCATCTTCTTCTATCCAATCATCTTCAATACACATAGGAAGCACATCATCACAATTGTTTAGCCCTAAATCACAATATTCTAATGTCAATTACTGCAAAATAATGAACTCTGATCTTTAAAGAAAGTAACCATTTTAATGAACTCACCAAGTAACTCAAGTGAAAAGGTGACAGCTTTTCCTTTATCCCAGTTAATCACAGGTCAGACGTCTAAAACCTGAGAAATAGTAATAAGAAATTATAAACAACAAATCTCCTTTTTTAAGAATTCAACCGTTGAATCTCCTTAAAAATGCATGAAAAGGTTGGCTTTGGCTCTAAAAGCAGTACCTTATGCCCGTGAGTTAAGCGCAAACGCAGATAGTCTTCAAGAACATCATGAACACGTTGCACCACCAAATCCCAACTCTGTATTGAATAAAATTACGTTGCCAGGGTAAATGGACTTTTTGGCAGTTTTTATCAATTCTGGCAGTTTTTTTTCAGTTACTTGTAGGTGGTGCTTAACTGCTTATATGTATTTATTTTTTATGTACGTGTTTATATTTTATTTAAACTAAGGCACTTCATATCTATATATATATATTTTTTAACATATATATATATATATATATATATATGTGTGTGTGTGTAGGTGTCTATTTGTATTATTTTGGGTAGTGGTACAATTTAAATCTTTTACAATTATAATACTTTAAATATATCAAAAATATTTTACACTATATAATTAAAATTACTTCATATTACATAAGTATTTCTCGGTATTGCATTTTCAAGTGTCTTAATATTAAAAAAAATAGTTAGAATTAATTTCAAATAAGAAAATGTGTTACAATTATATTTTTGTGTCTATTAAATCTGTAAATATAATATTTTCAATTAATCATATTATTATATAGGATCAAAATCTTCTGTCTCTAACCCCTGTCCCTCCAAATACAAAAGGTCATCTCAATTAGATTATCACATCATTACTTTTAATTTTCATTTTGATTTTTAATAAGTATAACCCTTTATGTATTGTTATAGAATGCATCTTCGTCTATCCAATCATCTCCAATATATAAAGGAAGCACATCATCACAATTGTTTAGCCCTAAATCACAATATTCTAATGTCAATTACTACAAAACAATGAATTGTGATCTTTAAAGAAAGTAACAATTTTAATGAACTCACCTAATAACTCAAGGGAAAAGGTGACAAGTTTTCCTTTATCCCAGTTAATCACAGGTCGGACCTCTAAAACCTGAGAAATAGTAATCAGAAAATATAAACAACAAATCCTCTTTTTTAAGAATTGAACCGTTGAATCTCCTTAAAAATGCATGAAAAGGTTGGCTTTGGATGTAAAAGCAGTACCTTCCGCCCGTGAGTTAAGCGCAAACGCGGATACTCTTTAAGAACATCATGAACACGTTGCCCCACCAAATCCCAACTCTGTATTGAATAAAATTACCTTGCCATGGTAAATGGACTTTTTGGCAGTTTTTATCGATTCTAGCAGTTTTCTTTCAATCACTTGTACGTGGTGCTTAACTGCTTATATGTATTTATTTTTTATGTACGTGTTTATATATTTAAACCAAGGCACGTAATATCTATATATATATATATATATATATATATTTTAAAATATATGTATGTGTATATATATATATATATATGTGTGTGTGTAGGTGTCTATTTGTATTATTTTTGGTAATGGTAAAATTTAATTCTTTTACAATTATAATACTTTAAATATATCAAAAATATTTTACACTATATAATTATAATTACTTGATATTACATAATTATTACACGGTATTGCATTCTCAAGTGTCTGAATACTAAAAAAATAGTTAGAATTGATTTCAAATAAGAAAATGTGTTACAGTTATATTCTTGTATCTGTTAAATTTGTAAATAAAATATTTTCAATTAATCATATTATTATATAGGATCAAAATCTTCTATCTCCAACCCATGTCCCTCCAATCACAAAAGGTCATCTCAATTAGATTATCACATCATTACTTTTAATTTTAATTTTGATTTTTAATAAGTATAACCCTTTATGTATTGTTATAGAATGCATCTTCGTCTGTCCGATCATCTCCAATATATATGGGAAGCACAACATCGCAATTGTTTAGCCCTAAATCACAATATTATAATGTCAATTACTACAAAACAATGAACTGTGATCTTTAAAGCAAGTAACCATATTAATGAACTCACCAAGTAACTCAAGTTAAAAGGTGACAGCTTTTCCCTTATCCCAGTTAATCACATGTCGGACCTCTAAAACCTGAGAAATAGTAATCAGAAATTAGAAACAACAAATCCTCTTTTTTAAGAATTCAACCGTTGAATCTCCTTAAAAATGCATCAAAAGGTTGGCTTTGGCTCTAAAACCAGTACCCTCCTCCCGCGAGTTAAGCGCAAACCGGATCGTAATTATGAACATCATGAACACGTTGCCCCACCAAATCCCAACTCTGTATTGAATAAAATTACCTTGCCAGGGTAAATGGACTTTTTGGCAGCTTTTATCGATTCTGGCAATTTTTTTCAGTTACTTATACGTGGTGCTAAACTGCTTATATGTATTTATTTTTTATGTATGTGTTACTCTGCACAAGGCTCTCAAATTTCATATAATGTTCAAAGTGTTTTCAAAATGGGAAGGAGGGAGCTTATAAGGATTCCGGAATGGCTCACACTTGGCGCCAATGTGAAAGCCTCACATGTGGCGCCAAGTTTTGAATTCAAATTTGAATTTGAATTCAAAACTTAACTCACATGTTAAGGTCCGGTCACATTAGTGCTAAGTATACATTTAGGTTGGATTTAAGTTGCATTTAGGGTTGAATTTGAGTCACACATGTTCAGCCAAGGTGGCGCAAACAATGTGACTCCAAATTCAACTTAAATGCAAGTTAAATTTAACCTAATGTTGCCTAATCCTTTGAATTAATAACTCCTCCTTAAATCCTAAACTAATGACCTAAATACAATGGTCAATGAAATACAAACTACAACGCCCTTAATCGGTACACTATGACGAAGTTAGCGTTATAAACAATAATAATATAAATATTAAATCCCCTTTTATTAATAACTATTTACATGCTTGAAATTTAAATTATACGATTGACCCTAAAATGTCTACATGATTTCTTTTATTATAACAATATTTATCAAAGATAAGAAATAAAAGAGATAGAAGAAGATTGACTGAAATAACTCTTGAACGAGCTCTATTGATGGAGAAGGTAAGGAGGAGTGGAAGAAGTGCTTCTCCTAAACTTCTCTCTAGCTCGGATCTTCTTCAATGGAGATGCAAACCGAATGGAATGGAGGCTTAAAGAGAGGAGGATTTTCGGAATGGAAGGAGGTTAAGCTTAGAAGGAAGTATCCAAGCTCAACGATCAATGGAATGCTCACTTCAAAGAGAAGGAAGAAGATGAACTTCCTAGGGATTTTAAGGTGAACACTCAAGAAGACTTTGAAGAGGAAACTCTGCACAAGGCTCTCAAATTTCATATAATGTTCAAAGTGTTTTCAAAATGGGAAGGAGGGAGCTTATAAGGATTCCGGAATGGCTCACACTTGGCGCCAATGTGAAAGCCTCACATGTGGCGCCAAGTTTTGAATTCAAATTTGAATTTGAATTCAAAACTTAACTCACATGTTAAGGTCCGGTCACATTAGTGCTAAGTATACATTTAGGTTGGATTTAAGTTGCATTTAGGGTTGAATTTGAGTCACACATGTTCAGCCAAGGTGGCGCAAACAATGTGACTCCAAATTCAACTTAAATGCAAGTTAAATTTAACCTAATGTTGCCTAATCCTTTGAATTAATAACTCCTCCTTAAATCCTAAACTAATGACCTAAATACAATGGTCAATGAAATACAATGAAAAGGAAAAATTACAAGAAGGAGAATGAGCCCAATATTGGGTACCAAAAGCCCAAAGGCCCATGAAGCCCAAAACTAGGCCCAACAAGCCTAAAACCTAAAATGCTACTCTATGTGGTCCCAAAATACAAGACCAAAATATATTCAAACTATGCTAAAAAAATATAATAAGAATGTTCATAACAAAAATAGGCCCATGTTGAAACTTGGTATGGGCCTTCCAAGCCCATAGGCCCATTGGGCCTTGACTGGCCCAATCTTCCATGTCTAGCCCACTCCTCTTGGATCTTTGAGTATGTCACCTCTTGCACTCCAAAGCATGACTCCATCATCTATTGGATCTTCAAATATGGAGATTTAGGTGCTTTGTGGCAACCTTTCACACTACGATAAGCCTCACAAAACTCAAGAAATACAATAGGAGAGAGAGAGAGAAATTTCGAGCTCTAAGTAGTTCTGGACAAAATTTTTTGAGTCCCTCAGAACTGTGCCCGAGATTTCTATTTATAGGCATCAGATGTGGGCCGGAACGGCCCATTTTGGATTCAAAATATTTTTGTGTCTATTAAATTTGTAAATATAATATTTTCAGTTAATCATATTATTATATAGGATCAAAATTTTCTGTCTCGAACCCCTGTCCCTCCAATCACAAAAGGTCATCTCAATTATATTATCACATCATTACTTTTAATTTTTATTTTGATTTTTAATAAGTAAAACCCTTTATGTAATGTTATAGAATGCATCTTCGTCTGTCCGATCATCTCCAATATATATAGGAAGCACATCATCACAATTGTTTAGCCCTAAATCACAATATTCTATTGTGAATTACTGCAAAACAATGAACTATGATCTTTAAAGAAAGTAACCATTTTAATGAACTCACCAAGTAACTCCAGTAAAAAGTTGACAGCTTTTCCCTTATCCCAGTTAATCACAAGTCGGACCTCTAAAACCTGAGAAATAATAATCAGAAATTATAATCAACAAATCCTCAGGAGACGGTGTCCTTATTCATCAACTCGTTGACTGGTCCCTATTACGATAAAATGATAGGGAACACAACGACACTCTTCTCGGACATCATCACCATTGGGGAGAGAGTGGAACAAGGACTTAAAAGTGGGAAGCTGGCTAAGCCTTCCCAATCATATGAAGCTAAGAAGGCCTTCGGGAAGAAGAAACAGGGAGGAGTCAA